ACATTGCTCAACATCATGAAAATTAAACCTTATTTTCAATAAGCAATCCTGAAAAATATTTGTGGGTGCTTAACTTTTTTCCAGGTGTATAGTACATCACGACCACTGAGTTATGTATCACATGATCATTTGGAAAATGAACATCTAGAATTTAATGACATAATGGCGGACAACGGATGACGCGCCACGGCAAAACTATCTAAGATTGAACCTAAAAAGGTCTAGATCTAACAAAACAAATTACAATTTACATAAAAGTACATGTATTATCACGGATGGTTTCTAACTCTCAAACGCTGGAAGAATTCTGTTATTCTAACGTTTTGTTACGACATCGTCCTTGTGAGTTAACGATTCAAACAACTGTGTAAAAGACTGACTGATGTACAAATAGATTCCCGCTTTACTGACACATCCATATGATATCTATGGACACATCAAGTGCGTGCACGTGCAAGCGAAGTGCGTGAATTTCAGAAATATTCTCAGATGCGTAAAAGAGACGTGGTGAGAAAATTTTCGTTATCGAAAAATTATTATGTTGGCGATTTATTTAATAATAGCACTTGTGAAATGCAGAAGCACGTTACATCATAGAACTAAAAACTAAATTGAATGAAAAAAAACGAAAAATTTTCGTTTTCGCGATTTTTTCCCAAGAATTGGCTGTGATCCCCCCCCCCCTCCCGGACACGCTCCTGTATTTCTGAAACAAAGACTATAGAAACAGATGCTACTCTAACTATTCCCAACCAAAGAAAGAGAAAAGTTACAAGTTTATATAAATCAGAAAGCCTCCCAGTGGCACAGCGGTATGTCTGCAGACTTAAACGCTAGAAACCGGGTTTCAATACCCGCGGTAAGCAGAGCACAGACAGCCTATTGTGTAGCTTTGCACATAACTACAAACAATAAATCAGAATCTGGAAATGCTATTGAAACTAATGAGAAAATGGAAATTACCTAACTTGACTCTCTCATTAAATGGTGTCAGACCAAATTACTGGTACCAGACAATTTTATACAAATTTTGAGGAATCTAAAGTTTACGTTATGCAAAACTTTTCTGTGGACAATACTGAAAATCAAATGAAACCCGATAACACCTTACTAAGTTATTAACGTAACGTTTTTGAAACCTAAAGTAAGGCTACTGTGGATGCCTTTTGTCGACATAGTTTGCTTATTAGCCTGGGCGAGCAAAAGTCTTCACATCATCAGGAAGATGTTCTTGATGCTCAAAACGTAACAAAACCTAATTTATCAGAAACAAAAGGCCAATATAAAGCAAAAGGGTGGATATTAGATCTCTTTCTAAACCTAAGTGATGGTGAATACTTTCATTACCAGAAATGCGCATGTTTTTAGTAAAATCATATGATCTGTATAATTCCTTCTACATTAATGAGTTATGAAAAGTTGTACAATTATCGTATTTGAAAAAACGTGTATGTTTGTAGGTACTGAATGCTTAACTGAAAATTAAAGAATTATTCTTGCTATCATCTTATGTGGAATATTTTTATAATATTTAAAAAGATAGACATAAACTTACAGTTTGCAATATAAAAGAAACAATTTGCTTGTTTGTTTTTGAATTTCGCGCAAAGCTACATGTGCGCTATCTGCGCTACCCGTCCCTAATTTAGCAGTGTAAGACTAGAGGGAAGGCAGCTAGTCATCACCACCCACCACCAAATCATGGGCTACTCTTTTACCAACGAATAGTGGGATTGACCGTTATATTATAACGCCCCCAAGGCTGAAAGGGCGAGCGTGTTTGGTGTGACGGGGATTCGAACCCGCGACCTACAGATTGCGAGTCGAGCGTCCTAACCACCTGGCCATGTCGGGCCAAAAAACATTTGTAAAGACCGCACATTTCACGTCCACAGACACTGAAAAAGCAAACACATTCAGAGACTACTTCAAAACAATCTTCACCACGCCAGAGACACAATCATTCGATCAACAACATTACGCTAACGTCAAGAAACACATAGTCAAGACACATTCACCCCCAACTTCCCCACCTCTCTCAACTCAGTACCATCACCAACCAGCAACAACATAGATAGACCCATCACGATCGGATAGCTTAAAATAAAGATCAAGCGACTTAAAAATTCCTACCCAGGCGAAGACGGTATCTGTAACATTATATTCTTTTTTTTTTTAAACGCGTCCCACACCTTACTCACACACCTCTGCACAGCATATAGCCTTTCTCTTAACTCTGGATATTACCCCACAGCCTGAAAATCCGCCCTAATAGCGGTCATCCTCCAAAATGGTGCAAACCTAAGTGATTCCTCCAACCACAGACCCATTAACTGCCTCGGGACAAAAATTCACAGCACGACTACTCCACCAACTTGAAACAAACAAATTACTAACAGGCGTACAGAACTCTTCCAGAAAACGTAGACAGACAACAGACCACTTCGCCAGACTGACCGAGGATTTAATAACAATTATGCGACAGCAGCTACATTTCTCGACGTCAGGAAAGCTTTCGATAGCGTCTGGCACGACGGATTTCAGTATGAATTAACTCATTACAACATCCCTGAACCCATTATGCGTTGGACTTCCAGATAAAAGAACCGCCCGTGCCAAAATAAACAACGACACATCCACTCATTTCACACTGCTTGTAGAAGTCCCACAAGGGTTAGTCTTAAGTTCTCTGTTATACATAATATTCGTACACGACGTAAAATTTCTTTCACTCACTAACACACGTTTCCCAGTACGCAGAAGACTCGCCCTATGGAGCATCGCGTGTACCCCCGCTTAGCTGCACACAAATTACAATCTCTCCTTAAACATATAACCACAAGCTATTATATTCAGAAAGCTCGCAAAAGAATCAAATCTAAAATACACGACACCACACTCAAGCTCTACGACAGGTTCATTAACACTATTACTTTTCTAGGTATTACTTTCAACAATAAATTAACATGGAATACGCACCTACATAACACACTCAAGAGGGCAACGCAAAGAATAAGTTAACTCAAAAGAATAGAAGGGTGTGCGAAAGAATGTGACGCCCAATCTCTCACTTTAATCTACAAAATGTACATAAGACCAGTCATCGAATACGGTAACCCCATCACTTTTAACATGCCACAACATTTATAAAAAAAGTTAGAAAAAATATAATCCAAAGCAATAAGAACCGCCCACCCATATACACACCGTCATGTTACCTAAACAAATTCAGTAAACTACAAACAACAAAACAAAGATTCACCGACCTAAATTCAACTTACTATAACAAAGCATAACAACACTAATCACTCGGCACAGTTCTTTCAGAAACACCTGATTCCTGACGTAAATGCACCCCTCCCTTCCAAACTTATATAACACTTACACAAATAAACAACACTTTGACATTATACCACCAAAAGCATACCTGGTCACCGTCCCGCTCGTCCAACGGACTCACCTGATTAACGACTCAACTCGAAAAGCAGCTAGTAAACAGCGCTTATACCAATTCTCGGCCTACTCTAATCGAAAAGTTGGATTTGACCGTCACTCTTAAAAACATAATCATAGCCACAAAGTGCGAGTTTTCGGCAATTGCATGAACCCTTGGGCATGCCAGGTCTATCCCAAAAGAATACTTTGACATATGATGATCATTACTGTACTAAGAAATAAATTTGGGGCTACTGTGGATTTTTTCTCACAGAGTTATATTTGTATATTAAAAATTATTTATTTCCTCTGTGTAAACACAATAAAGTTCAGAACGAGCATAGACGATGAACTCATTCAAGTTATTTTTAGCTTTAATTATGTAAATTCAAAATATCGTGTTTAATTTTATCTTGCTATCCTACAGACTTCAACTTTAAAAAATGTTTGCGAAATTGCACTTTGGAATGCAATTGCACCTATTCATCTTCCTCTCACTTTTACATTCTATAAAAATAACTAATTTTTACTTTTTGTAAGACAAATAATACTTGCTATAAAAGGCGAGTACAACATAACCAAAAAATAATGTTTTTCACTTTTATTACAAATTATAATACTTCTGAAAAGTTAGACATTTGAACGAAACTTATGACTGTTTTTTTACAGTTTTATAATTTAATTTGTTCCCAAATCGTTAGTCATTATCTGGAAAAGTTGTATCAAGAAATCTTAATTAGGTGTTGTATCTTTTTATCTCAGTTTCGTTGGTATTAGGCAGTCATTTTTAGGTTAATTCCACATACTTGTTTCTTTATGGCTTTCACTATTTAAGTGAATTATTGTCAACTTTTAAAACCAGATATAGCTTAATTATGATTCGCGATCCTCAAGTTATTTTGCCTTATCTTTTTATATTGGTAAAAAACAACAAGTAATTATATATAACCTTAAAACATTAACAAAATTACATTACTATATTGTTTTCGATATTTAACAATGTCCTTTCAATATCGAAATGTGAATAATACTGGTCTAACAATAATTTTTACATATTCGTATATATATATATATATAACCAGTAAGTGATTATATACATAATATTAACTAGAAACCACCTGCGATAGAGGGCATTCAATACAAGTTAAGGGTACATCCTTTACAGTGGTTTATTAACTTATATACAAATATCACACTTCGATTTCATAACACATTCAAGAAAAATACACAGAAACATCATGCACAACAGAACATGCATCATTTGACAATCTGCATACGACATAAAAAACTGGTATAATAAAAGTTACACAACTTTGCTTTGCACCTTTGTTAACCTAAAGAAATTGATGAAATAAATTATATTTCAATTTGCTTTAAAACTAAATAGTTTTCCAGAAAAAAAAAATATTGATAAATCACTAAAACAAGTTAGACGAAAATAACATTCACCAACAACATACAAAAACTCAAGGTAATAACGAAGAGGAAATATAAAATAACGATTGTTTGTTTGTAATTAAGCACAAAGCTACACAATGGGCTATCTGTGCTCTGCCCAACACGGTATCGAAACCTGGATTCTAGCGTTGTAAGTCCGCAGACATACCGCTGTGCCACTGGGAGGCATAAAATAACGCAACCAAAAAATCATCTTATACATAATATTTTAAGAATATGGAACAAACTAAAGAACACAACATTATCAAATACTGCAATGGATAACACAGTACGGTTGGAATACTATCATTATAGTATGCAGTGTTAAAAAACATCATAGGCCTAATAGTAATGTTATATGACAAGTATAATCAAATATTCTTTCTTTTTAACTAACTGAAGAAAGTTCGCTGAAGAGGTGAAAAGTCATAGTTTAGAATTTTTTTAGTTACCAGACAAAAGATGAAATTTTTCAAAGTTTAAAGAAACACTTGGGTTCCCTCATCAAATATAAAGTCAATATATTTCCAAAAGTACGTTAACTCTAAACCAAGGGTACAGAACTCACCTTCTGTGTATGATATTTTTACATCGTTTATGAAATTTGAGGTGTGAAGAATAAGAAATAAACACACTTCAACTTTTGTGAACAAGAAAGCTTTATTGAACTTGAAATTTTCTAAATTACCGTAAAGAAATGAAACACAATATATTTTTACCAGCTCACAATTAAATCTCCAGGGATGGATAAGTAGGGGCCAATTACTTGCCCATCTCCAAAGTTCCAAATATTGAATAGTTTTTACTGCATTACACACAATTACATTCAGTAAAATGTGTCATGCACCTGGGGGTTAAATCTGGTTTCATTTCCCAAGTTCTACCGATACTCTAAGAAGTTTTTCAATAATAAGCTGCCATAGTAAAAATCAAAGCCCTAAAATAATTAAAGATGCATTAACTAGCTCACAACTTGATAACAGTAGACGAATATGGTAAGGCAATGATGAGGATAAGATGCCATTTCATTTGGTTACATTACAACTGTGACATTTCTGGTTGAGAAGGTGTTGACTGATACGACAACAGTTCTATGCAAGAATGTTATAATCTTGTAAATATTATTTTTACTACTTATTCTAATATCCCTTTTAACTTTTTTAACTAATACGATGCTTTAAAACAATACTTAACAAATATTAACTCATCTGAATATGGAAGAAATACTTTATACTTATATTAAGCTCTTAGTTTCCCATTGGAGAAAAACAATATACCAGAACAGGGGAAAGAATATACAAATTGAAAAGTCCAAATGTTTTTTATTGTTTTATGTGTTAAATATAAGGTATACACTTGTGTTGTTTTACCTTCAATTACCCAATGCAAATTAAAGCATACAACTACAGCTAAATTCATGCAAGTGAAAATATCCTGTTTTTGGTTATCCCTCAGAATTCAAACTGACCTGCTGTCTTAGTCAAGTGAATTAAATTAAGTCACCAAAGATAATTTGATAGTACGTTACAAGAGTTTTTTGGATTTTTTTAAAAAGCCATTATACTAAAAATGCAGGATCATGAATTAAATTTTCAACCACAAGGTAAATAGTTCATTATATATCACAATCTTACTCTTACAACTTTTTTCCATCTACAGCAAAGCTCACAATGTAAACTCAGCAAAGAAACATCAACACATACACTTGTATGGCAGAGCAAAGCTGAGATTTTTATGTTTAAATGCTTAAATTCCTTCACAATATTTGGAGCTTCTTTTATAGTTTGTGGTTCTCATTGCCTTTAAAAGTTACATAATAGTCCAAAATCAAACAAACAATTATGACTTCAATGACTAAATGAAATACTACTCAAGACAACAACAGAATAAGGATAGAATTTCAAGACAACAGGTGCCATTGAGGAGTTAATGGCATTGTAGAACACTGTCTAGAGATAAGGATTGTTTATTCTTTATCATCATCGAAATGATAGGCAGTCTGTGAACTGCCCTCGTCGGTCATGAACTGGTTTAGAATCTCCTGCATGCTCTGCTGAAGACTGCCATGTTTTTCGATATCACCGTATTGGGTGGTCGTTTCAGTGACAGTGCAACGTTGGCCATCAGCTCCTACTGTGGTGGAGGTACATGTGGTTTCCGACCTAAAAGAAATATTATTACATTTGTCATAAAAATGTGCAGTGCAACTGCTTTATGATAAACACCTTGCAAGTATATCTAAATTAAAAGATATAAATAATGATTATTGTATGAAGAAACAAAAAGTACAACTGCTTCATGATAAACACATTGTAAATATATATATACTAAATGATATTAACAAAGATCACTGTATGAAGAAACAAAATTTATCCTGGATATGACATAAATATTTGGGATGTAAAAATACTAGTAAGAAAATGTAATTCTTAATCATAAGCAGTAATCTATAAACATATGTCTTCTATAAATTATTCTGCAACTGGTCCTCCTTTTCTGAATAAACTATGAGTAAATCTTGTACACAAATACACGTTTTATTTAGCTATATATATATTTGTCTATAATTCTGTTTTTACTGAAGTGATTTTTTCTTTACAACAACTACATGAAGCTGTATTTTTTTTTTTTTTTATAAGAGTTGATATTAGGTTTTAATTACTTTTTTGATATTACTTAGTTCGCGTCATTTTGATTTCATTCAGATAAACTGGAATTCATTCATTTTTTTTTATTACATGATAATACCAATAAATCTAAATTTTAACTTGAACAATTAAAATCAAATTCAAACAGGTACTTATCTCTGAAACACAGTTTGCCTCTTCTTGTTAAGTATAACTTCCTTTATCAATGTCACAAAACCTACATTTCTGAATGTCCTTGATGCAATGCAGTACATGTGCCATACCTACCCATAGCTCTCCACTCTCCCAGCTTATATGTTACTTGCACATGTGTCAGGGGAGTATTTCCAGCTCAACACTTGATTTCTTTTGCAGTCATGATGTGAAATTGCAAATCTCATGGTTGTAGGGGGGTGGGTGGAAATGTAAGTCTTTGTTTGACATTCATTTTAATTCTAAAAAATGTAAAATTCCAATAGGCAGACTTACTTCTGAAACACAATTTACCTGATTACCCACAATAAAAAATAGAAGGGAACCACAGGATGTGATGGTTTATGGACTATGAAGCACTCCACCTACACCAATTGATGGCTATAAAGTCAAACGTGAGAAATAAAAAGCAGAATTAAAACCCAACTATATAAGCAGGACTGAATACAAATTTGAGAAGGAGTGGAGAGGACTATGCACTTGTTAAGAGAATATGAGTTATGAACTGGTTTAGAATCTCCTGCATAATAATATTATTATGAAAGTGGAACAGAAATAGACAGTATGGAGATTCATAATGATATCACTTCTGCTCTGTTATAGTTATATCAGATGAGCAAATGAAGCTGAAAAGATAGGCACCTACTGAGGCATCAGATGGCATCTGCTGTCCACATCTAGATGACACCACCTTATAATGGAAGTCAGCATTGAGGGTGGTATGTGTGGTATAAACTGAGGTTTCATATGACACAAATAAATTTTTCTTCTTTTGTTGTTAAATAAACTTACCTGTAAAGGATTCTAACTGGATTCAAGTACAATATTTGATGGTAAATGGAATCCTCCACTGAAGAAACAGCAAGATGATGTTAATAAAACTGTAAGAAATATATTTGGAGTCATCCAAATACTGGTTTGTTTGTTTGAAGTTAAGCACAAAGCTACATAATGGGCTATCTGTGCTCTGCTCACCACAGGTATTGAAACCCAGTTTCTAGCATTGTAAGTCTGTTGACATACTGCTGTGCCACTGAGGGCCCACATACTTGACTGAAAGATATCCTTTAAAGGGATTTGCAACTGGGACACCAAAGATAATGTCAAATGATGAAGTTGATGGGTTATAGGTAATTGGGTACATCCAGGCAAATCTATTCACACAGCTTCAAAAGGCAGCCAATAAAGAAGATTTATAATCAGAAACAAATGATGCAAAAAAATGTATCTTTCATGAAAGAGAAACAATACTAAAGATGACACCTAAAGTGACTGGTAAACTATAAGGGAAGAACAGCATGAAAACCTTGCTAACAAATTGGCAACATGAAATGAGAACCCTCCATGTCTCCCAGAGAACCAAGACAACAGCAAATTATGAAGATGTTGATGTCAAACTTCAGAGTGGAAGATGGAAGTTGACAAAAAAGTTTGAACCAAAGAGGAAGAGGATCTTTCAGACAGAAAAGGTAGCAAAGAGGAAACCATGGCTGTGTTGGTCAAAATGGCACTATGAGAAAAACTCAGCAAGACATGGAGGATCTTGGAGAGTACATGAGAAGCATAGGCATAAAAGATTAGATCCTTTTAATTCTAGCTCAAAAAGTCCATGGCCAAAGGAAGATGCTAATTGTCTGAAGAGGTGAAAGCATTGAGCATGGGATGTCCAAGACAATCATGTATCCAATAGAAAACAGACAGCTGATGAGTCCATTGAGTAGGAAAAACTCAATAATCTCATGAGAGTATGTCTGAATTTTCATCATGCCTATCACATGATAAGCATGAAAGGAAGACAGCCACACGACAGACTGTGATAATGGGTGATTCCTATGATAAAAGATGTATCTGTGAAGAAATGAAGAGCTGTTGGTGGGGGACAAAAATTAACCCCACAATAGTGAATCCCTGATCCAACCAAACTGGAGAGAAGCAAGAATGTGTAGGGAGATAGGTATATGCTAGGATAATAGGTCACAGCTCATCTTCCACTGGGACATCAAATTCACATGGGCTTGCTCCACAGGAACAAAATTGATTGGGAAAGCCATAATCCCAAAAGAAGAGATATGTGTCTTTGGCTACAATTAAGGTACACATAAGCTTGCATACTCTCAATATTAAAGCTCAAAGAGTCAGAAGATAAGGATGAAGAGGCTCCTGAAAAGTAATAATCCAAAATCTCAATTGAATTGGATAACAAGTAGGAATAAGCTGGAATATGAAAGTGTGGTTGATCTACCAAAGTGTGCCTAAGACTGTGTAGAAGAAAGAGCATGAACCAGTCATGTATTTAAGAATGGAAATTTATGCTGAATGAGTGCAGATGACCTGCAAAAAGTCTCACTAATCAAAACAAAAAACATGTATGAAACTGAGGATAGGTAAGATAAGTTGGTAAGGGCAGCCAACAAAGAAAATTTCCAGGGAAAATGAAATGAAAGATCAAGAATAGCTTAAAGCTAAATGCTGGGATGAAGAAGATCAATCAAAATGAGACTTACCACTGACTGAAATTAGGAAAAATAATCAAAAACACAAATAAGAACTCCATACAGATGCTTCCACCATTAAAAAATTTGAGACTGACAGTGAAATCATATGAACCAAATTAGAAGACCCTGCTAAAACACTCAAAGCACAATGAACAGAAGGAAAATGAAGAGATTCAATGTTCAGTTTATTTCTGAAAGAATCAGCAATAACTAATAATAGAAGAAGGCAGTAAAAAGAAAATTCTGAAACAGAATCATCTAACATATGACTAAACCCGTCGAGTATTACAGAAGTAGGCTCAAAACTGAAACTAGCATATACCTGGGTGATAAGCTGAATCAGGTCTGCAGGAGTGTTGTCAGGAAGAGGGTTAATGTGTAACAGACTAGGTCATGTTCACAAGTATGTGAGGAAGGGTGATGTTTCATGACACTGGCATTCATCTGAATGGAAAATCCCAAGGAGATAACCACTAGTAACTAAGCATGCACAAACCAAATGTATTGATCAATCAAAGCCTACAACCAACCCTGAAATCCCTGTGTACATCCATATACAAATGTGGAAATAAGATAGCATTGAAGGAGAAGAAGCTACTATGTTAGCAATGTGAACAGCACCATTGTCAACAAGAAAATCTGGCTTTGGGCTGGAAGATAGAGCTTATGTGGTCCCCTAACACAAGCACAAAACAGTCATGTGGAAGGTGGAAGAGTAGATCAAAATGGGTAGATATGATACAAGTACTGCATTGCATCATGGATATTCAAAACTTTAGATCACGTGACATTGCCAGAAAGAGTTCTCATCAACAAGAAGAGGCAAACAATGTTTCTGAGATAAATGTCTTCCTCACCAGAAAATGTATTTTAGGTGGATACTCACATCTCCACAGAACTGATAGCTATTACCTTGCACCACTACTGAAAATATTATCTTGCATGTGCCAAACCTGAAATAAAACTCCCACCCACATGTATTAACGTTTACTGCACTAGTCTATGATGCAATCAGCATTAGATTATAGCCCTCCACTAATAGCTGTGACACATCCTCCATATACATTAGACCCCATGAACATCTCATGTATTAACATAGGTTAACATTTTCTTAAATCTAAAATGTATTTCCAATAATACTTACCTTTCTTTACCCTACAGCTATTATTGACTGCTAGGGTTCCTTCCTTTGCCCATCTAAGCAATGGTCTGATTTTCTCTCACTTGCTCCAGTCTTTTATACCTCACTTAAATACCTTTAATGATACTTGTCTTGTAACACTCTCCACCTACATCAATGCACCCTCTATTCTGGTACTGTATATAAGCACCTCATTCAGATAATTTTATCATTTTTTTCAAGACTGACTCAACCTGCAGTCTCTAATAGTGGCTCTTAGTGGGAAGAAAAGGTGGTAGAGTTTGAGAGGTGGTAAGTATTATTGGAAATACATTTTCAATTTAAGAAAATGTTAACTTCCAAAACATATTTACCTCCTTTCACACTACAGCTAGAATCGCACATTGAGAATGTGGATGGGCCAGCGAAGGCATTATCCATACATAAATGTCTGCACAGATCATGGGTATATCAATAGAAAAATTTACACCCTACTGGGGGAACCGCACTACATCTAGAACAGGTATTTTACATGATTTATCATCACTACTGGCCAGGCCCCAACCAGATAGCCGAGGTTCCACTGCTTGGGGTTGAAATTATAGGGCCATGGTCCCTATATACCACATGAGTGGATCCCATCCTGTAGCCACAGGAAGGACAAACCTTCTCCTCAACCTCAAGAAGTCTGAAAGGCAACACACCAG